GGGGTGCATTCATTATGTGAGTGTGTTCATTGTGCGAGTAAATACGGTAAATAAGGACAAAATTGCGCCAAGGTGTGGCCAACTGAAATTAAGAAATTATTATTGAAATTATCTTGACATTTTTCTGTGTTCAAACCAGTTTATGTTCTATGTGCGAAAGTGGATGTCCTTGAATTACCTATTGTAAGGCGGGTTCTGTATAGTTTTTCAGTTTCTGTTATCTGTTTATATTTTCATTGTGACAAGTATTTTAATGTTTGATGGAGTGCTGTTTTAATTTTCTTTGTGTGCACCAGATCATAGACTGTAAAGTTGTTTGTGGGCACGTAAAATAAAGATCTATTATTAAGCAAGACTCGTCAAAATTAGCCGTCCGCAGTTCCTGGCGACATTGACATCGGAACTTTCGGCCCAAAGGTAACGCTGATGGATCCGAATCTGAAGCTCTATATCCGGAGATCGCTGCCATGGTTATACCTCACTTAAGCTTAAAACAGTTGTTACAGCATCCCTCATTGCAACGCTTGTGCTACCAAACCTCTTTAAAGCCGCTGTTGCTCTGCTTCGTCCATGTCCACACGCAGATGATACTATAAGCGCGAGCTTTGGACTTTGAGCGTCCCTGCCAAGAATGCGCAGTCGTGCAGCGCTAGCACTGTTTATGGCGAAAGTCCCTGAATTCTGGGAAAGTAGCGCCAAGCTCCCCGTATGGTCGCCATTTTGGTCTATGAAATGAGAAATTTCTCCTTAGCCCCTTTGTTCTTGGTGAGCCAACCTAAATGCACTGATGACAGGTAACTTTATAGAGATGCTATCCACACAGCGGCGAAACAAGCGCACATCTTTGTACCTCCACCACATGCTGTGTCGGTGCTTGGAGGCACTGAAAAATAAGTTTACTGTTTTTAAATACGCAAGGTCAACAATATAATTGTAAGAGATCCGCAAAGATGGGCATGAGGATAAGTTGATTGCATACACAGTGCCAAAGACGCTTAGATTGGCAAAAAACATTTCCAGTATGATGATGCTCCGTGGTGATCTTGGCGCGACTGGTTTAGAAAGACCCTCGGAAGCCTTGAAGATTTGAATGAACCAAGATGGCGATTTCTATGGGAACGTAGACACATTAACCAAGCGTCTTGCGAGGTTTTGGTCGTCTGCATGTTAGTATCTGTTTGTGCCCGTCTAGCAGGTAGGGAATGCAATAGTGCTACTTTCTCAGGATCCAGTAACTCTAGGCTGTACTTGCGTGACTATAGACGTTACCACTGTTTACAAAAATCCCAGTCCACACATGCAAAATCACAGTCTAGCCAACGGTCGCTCGCAATTGCGACCAAGCAGAAACTGCGCGTGTAACATGCAAACACAGCAATGAACGTGCTGTTCTACGCTTTTATAGAAAAGATTATTGCAAGCCCTCAACTCAGCCTGCATTGGCTTGCCCTGAGGCTTCGCACGTAAAACTTGGGAACATAACAAAGGCAGGTGGGCAGTGCGGCGTATGATGGAGCAAGTTACGAGCTGAAAGTGATTTCAAACTGTTTATATTTACCTCTTTGCGAGTCAGTTCCAGTGCGTGTCACACTGTCTTGCAGTTTTGCTTTATGTGTTTTCTGTAATTTTCATGTAATTTCGTGAAAAATGTTTCTCATAAAATGTTAATGGGAACTACTGTTCACATGAAGTTATCTGCATGCCATATTTCCTTGAGTTTTGAAGACCAGATGACATGTAGCCTCTATTTTAACATTCACTCGTATGCTGCTCCCAACTTGCTCCAAAACCTTGTTTTTGCTGCTCCCAGCCTGCTCCAAACTGTAGTTTTTTGTGCTCCCAAGATTGCTCCAAAGCTGCTTTTCCCAGTTCCATCCCTGGGAGGTGTAGGAAATCGCGTACCGCCGCCGATTCGCCATTTCCCACATGGTCCATCAACAAACCGAGTCCAGCCTGGTTCTTTCACGGGAGCGGGATTCCGCTCCCCGTTTATTCGTACAATAAAATACAACTCTACAAAACACTTAATCTAAACTACAAATACACGCGACATTATACAAATATTTACAAACGCACGTTAAGACCAACGCCAAACACAAAGAAGGAGCTTAGGCCTTGCGTCCCGCAATATCCTAAATCCGGTCGCCACCCACTTGCCTGCCAGTGCCTGCGTCTCGGTCTCGTCCGAAGTTCTTAGAGAGCCTCTCGCCCCCTGCCCCACCGAGTATATCTCTCGATGGGCGAGGAGGTTTCTCCTCGCCTGCCACGGGAGCGCCTGCAGCGCCCTCTAGTGGCTAGGAGAGAAAGTGGCGCGTCGGGAGCCGAATTCGAGATCCCAATTGACCCCGCGGCAACACGACCATCTGATCGTGTCGCGGCCAAGATTGGCCGAATGGTTTGATGGGCGCCCTCGTGAATTCACGGTGCGCCATAGAGGGGATGGCACGGAGGGGAGGGTATGCCCCTCCTCTCCCTCCCCTCCTCCTCTCCTGCTCCCCTCCCGTTTAGCGTGAAAATTTCTCTATATTTCCCGCTAAATTTAGTGAAAATTTCCCACTAAATTTAGCGGAAAATCTTTTCGCTAAATTTAGCACTAACATTTCCCCACTAAATTTAGAGGGGAAATTTTCTGGCTAAATTTAGCGGTGGAATTTTTCTGGTAAATTTAGCGGGAACATTTCCCGCTAAATTTAGCGAAGAAATTTTGCGAAAATATTCTCGCTAAATTCAGCGGAGAAATTTTCCTATAATGTAATGCACACTTAGGCCCGCTTGCATTATTCCCATAATGCTGCGTGCGGTTACGGTGACGGTCGCCGCTCAAGCCAGGAACGGGCGCCTAAGAGCTGCACTCTAAAAAAAATATAAAAATGGCCCGTCATCGCCCGTAGCCACCTGGCACCAAAATGTCGGGAGGCAAGGCCGTTTTATTTTCTCCCGAACACCCGGCATTTCCGTCTTTGACCATTTTTTTTGTCAGATGTCCCTGCATTTCGAGTTTTTTGTTTTTGGTTGTACCGCAGCCCCACTTGTTGTTTCTAGGCTAAAGGAGTAGCCCAACAATTTTAATGTTGAAAGAGTTCATAGTTTTTATATTGTTTATGTAGGTACAAGTAACAAAAAACGCATCACCTTGCCCTGAAGAACTGCTATTCCGCTTCCTAATCGCAAAAGAAAAAAAGTTTGAGCACACCTAATCTCTTCTTATGAGTTGTGAATGCAAAAGCATGAATGTCGTTTTTCCACTTCCTTAGTTCGTCTGCGGCGTACTGGCGTGGATGGCCACGTTTGCTACCGCCGAGGTAGCGGCCGACGGTGGAGCGCACGCTCTCATGAAGTGGTCGCGCCGCACTGAGCTCGGCCGCGCAGCCTCTCGGGAATTCGCCCGGGCGGGCTGTGTGGCCAGGCTTGCACCGTTGCATTTCTTACCGGCGGCCGCTGCATGCACTGCGCCGCCATGGTGAAGGCTTCACTGGTGGCGTTTTTTGGAACTACGCTGCACGAAAGCTAATGGGAGCCTATCCATCAGATCACGGCTTCCCTCTATTGGGACAGGGGAAGTTGCCGGTTGGCAGGGCTTCAGAAGCTAATGGCGTTGGTTTGCTCCATGGGACAGTTAATGCGTTAAAAACAATTGTTTGCCAATCTGCAGCCGTGTGTGGCGGTTACGGGAACTACGGTGACATGTCTCTGGGAGACGGGCAAAAGTGAACAAAACCCCTGCATTGCTACACTTCCAGTCAGACCTGTGGCGAGCCGTCTTTTGTGTCAGTTGCTTGCCGTGACGGCGATGCTAATCCTTGAAAAGAAAAGAGAAGGCGGCTGGGAGATCTGAAGAAAGAACTCGACGTAAAACCAGGTGGTCCCCCAGAGTATGCTGCTCGAAGGACGACCCGAGAGTTGAGAGGCACTGTCGATTTGTTTCATTTTTTAAAATAAAAACGAGCGGGTTTTTTGTTCTTGGTTCCATGGATGACACAGTGGCCAAAGTCAGAAATCAGTTTCCCCTCGAACTGTGGGCTCAAACTGTAACATATACAAAGAGGAAACCAGGGAGGTTATATCCTGCTATTTCTAGGTTTGTCGTAAGTTAGTTTGACCAAAGGATTAGCTTCTTGAGCCGCAAGCAGTTGAGTCTGGTTTGTTATCCTCCTCGTCGTCCACGCTGCGAGGCATTTTAGACCGCCAGATTAAGGGGGGACACTACCCGGAGAAAAAAAGATTCTTCAAAAAACATTGATTTTGAAAAATTACATATTTACATCCATCCACATCCAGAGAGTGTTCCCAGAAATTTTCACTAGTTTACACTGCATAGTTAATTTTTTATAAATTATTTTCTGTCCACCAAAGCTAAAGGAAAGGTAGGGTTTGGAGCACTTTGAACACATTTTTCTCCGTTCCACTTTTTTTATATAAATTCCATTTTAGTCAATCTATCGTTTGAGAATGGAAATACTGGCAAGGCTCGTTCTTCACTTTTTCTGACTGAAATTTAATAAGGAATGCGCCTATGGAGTTTGTTTGTCACTTTACGGACGTCTTTTATAAAAAATTATGACATTTTGTCGGAGATACAGAAGACCAAAAAGTTGACCAATTTCGCAGAAGAGAAACTTGATAGAAATCAATTACTTTTCACAAAAACCTTTCCATAGGCGCACCTCCTAGGCATTCTGCTACATATCTAGCGAATAAATATCTTTAATATTGTGATAGTTTTCTGGCGATAGATTAACTAAACCGTGTAGGGGTGTTGCTGATAGAAGCCGCCCTAATTTCCTTCCTACTTAACCGACAGACCTTAAATTTTGTTATGCACCCTCTAGCATGACCACCAGCCTACCCTGTAAATTTAATTAATTTTAACCTAAGGGTTCAAAAGTTGACCCTCCCGGGGGTGTCTCCCCTTAATCGGGAGAGTTTGCTGGGAAAGTGGGACGAGAGAGGGAAATGGAGACGGCCAGACAGGTGGCCCTGACCCCGAGGCCCTCTTGCAGCGACGTGGGCTTCCGGGAGGACGAGGCCAGCCGGCAGTGCGTGCGGGAGGGCGAGGTGGACCCCTACGCCGTGCCGACCAACTGTACGGAGGGCGCCTTCTACCGGAGGACCAAGGGCTACCGCAGGGTCTCTGGGGACACGTGCGAGGGGGGGCGCCTGCTCGAGTACGCCCCGGACGAGATCTCCTGCCCCCTCCGGAGTGAGTGCACCTGTCACGACGGGGGCATCTGACGAGGGTGTCCTGCACCGGGGGTGGGCAGTGGAAAGCTCGGCACCGGACCTTGGCACCCGGGAAGGGGACCGCCGATGCGAGTTAGCCATGAGTTTCCATAGAGAGCCACTGTCCGTAAATTCAACGGGCCCTAAATTCGCCGGATGGCCACCGCTTTATAAGTTGGGGTGTTGTTGGTGACAAACTTGCCCGTGGGTTATCTTTACCTGCCCACAGCACTGACTGGGCGAGGTGCCGACCGGGTGATTCTATCGGTTTTGACGTTCCTCCCTTTTGTAGCTAAAGTAGGTAGCTTTCGAGCTTTCCAAATAAGCCGTCCGGATCTTTCGATAAAAGACGGACGGCAGTGGAAAGTTTGGCACCAGACCTTGGCACCCGACTCGGCTCACGTGCGTGACGCGAGTTGGACAATGCATTGCACAACGCAGGCCAGCACAAGGGTCGGCCATGTGTGTAGTTTCGCCCCGTGCTGCTGTAAAAAAACAAACCACATTGTTGGAATGCCCAGCTGAAAAGGCGCTTTTCGCGTAAAGCTCGTCCAATATTAGACGCTGGAGAAAATTGGTCATCCATAAACTCTTTTTATTGGCATTCCACCCATTGAAAAGCTCGGTGAAAGAGTCCAAGCATGTGCCCAGCCTCTTCGCACTCCGTTGCCATCCCCATCCGCACACAAGTCCATCCACTGTGGTCACTGCCGGCTTGGCACCGAAATGTGTCCCAAATGGATGTGAGTGCGGCATCTGAAGCCAGCAACAGCCAGTGCTATTTTGCAAATACTGTAGTGTCTGCTTAAGTTAACGCAACACTGCTACCCAAAACTGGATGCCTCGGTGCGAAACGCTGAGAGCGGAAAGCAGTCGCCTGGCAAACCCTCGATGGGTAGAACGTCGGCAAAAGGAGTTTGGAATAAGAACATGATGCGGATGACTGATCTTGCACTGAGCCTCGGTCCTGACGAGGCTCGGTGCAAACTTGGGCCCGAGACGATAAAAATTCCTCTTCCCCGAGCGAAGCCAAGGTTGATCGCACGAAGCGCAGTTTGTTTTGAAACCTAGGTCGGAGCCTCAGGTTAGCATTGCCACGTTGACAATAGCAGTTTGCATTTGGAAAACGGCTGTTGCTAGGTTGAGACTACCCATATAGGAAACATTTCCACGGCCCCCGTTTTGGCTGGGCTCGGCATCCCCTTTCCTGCATGATCTGCAAGAAAGGATACGCTCGGTCTTAAAGTGGTGCGGAGTTTTGGAGAAAAAAATGTAAAATGTTCAATTCACGATAGCTTCTTTTTTCTCGCAAACTTCTTTTTCCTACAATCATCTCTGCCCACTCTCTTGTTGTCATTTCTAGCTCTCCCAAGCTCTTGTATTCTGAGATGTGCAGGGTCAATTTATTCCGGCTCAATGCTCGTGCCATATCTTGTACCCTGGTTACAAGGGTCGCTTTATCTGCCTTTGGGCCCACGGCAGTTAGCGGCCTCAATTGGAAATCCACTCGAGGGAACCAAGAGGCTGCTGGAGCACAGCTATTTCGATCCTAGTTGAAGCCAATAAGAAACCACGCCTGATGTCACACTGTCTTTCTAAACGGGGAGGTGAATTGCATTTGAATATATTTTGGTTTGGGACAGGGCCTGTGCCGAGGAAGCTCATGGTGCCGCATAATTGATTACGGATGCACTTTTGATCATCGACGAATGTATGAAATGAGATACAATACGCTTTTTTTTTTTTTGTTATGGGAAAGAATAGAAAATGCCTAAAACAGATGAGAGCAAGAGTCGACATCGCCAATGACAACACTTGCAGTAAACCGGGCTTCTGGGAAGGGGATTGAATTTTTCTGAAACATGTTCCGATCCCCACACATTCCCGCAATATTGGCCGCCCCAAAGGCGTCCGAATGCCTGCTGCATCCCGTAGCCGCAAATGCGTCGGCAAGAGTGGCCGTTCTCGAGGATCCTGGCAACGCCTCCGTCCAAGGCTCGCTTTGCAAGCCCCGCTGACCCGGTCCCTCGGGGTGCAGATGACGAGGAGTTCCTGCTGCTGGGCTTCAACGGGTCGCTGAGCCGGGTGTTGCTGTCGGAGCCTCAGCAGAGTCAGTGGGAGCGGCTGGCCAGGCATCCCCGGCAGGCCCAAGACCAGTGGGCTGCCGTGCTGCTCGACTACGACTACCACTCGCAGTGCATCTTCCTCTACCACCAGGGCATCATCTTTGTGAGCGGGCCTTTTCACCTCTCACCTTTCTTGTACAGATCATCTGCTTTCCTCTGCCCCTTTCCCAGACTATGCGGGCAAAAGCAGTGGTAACATGCTGCCTACGACAAGGGCTTCGTTGGTGTTTACGACAGATTTTAGCGCAGCATTTTAAGGCTCACTGCTAAGTCTCGATCATCATGAAAGCTTGTAACAGAAAACAGGATAACATGGCCAGACTCTTTTGTGAAAGTCACTTTGTCCGGCTACAGGAAAGATAAAACGAACTGGAGACGAGGGACTGCGTCCCCAGTTTGTTTTTTTCTTTCTGTTGCCAGTCAATGTTACCAACACATTCTTCAGCGAGGTCACTTTGTCCCACTGCAGGAATCGAACGACTAGCTCGGTCGGCAGTCTGATGCCTCATCCCTGCGCTGCCGAAGTGTTTTAGCTGCTGTATACAGTGTAGACCGCATACAACGTATGTCGCGGGAGTCGCGAAAATCCGCACTATAAGCGGTACCACGTTATAACCGAAACATCAATTTTTCAGGCCAAAATACATGCCATGTGACAACTTACCTTTGTAAAAGAATTTATTTTATGTTAGATGAAAAAGAAAGCTTAGTTTGAGGAAAGTCTTTATTTCACCAGATTAGTACACTTCTCTCTCAAGTGTGTCACACATTTTGAAAGAAATGAGCGGCTTTTGCCTGGCGCAGCCTCTTAGCGGCGTCGCGGGTTGCGGACGGATGTTGCGAGCGTTCAGGATTGCTAACCCTAATCACTTTTCTCCGGAGATGAAAACGCGTGAAAATTCGGATCCTTCATACGGTACGCGCCAGTAATACCTTGAACTTGAGCACACGCATGAAATGCGCCAAATAAGAAATCCGGGCGATGTTCGAGGACACAAATGCTTAGAAATCACCACTGTAGTCGAAGTAAACAAACACGACGACGCGGGCGTTTCTGCCGTCTTGAGAGCGCCGCCACGACATCGCCGCATCTTTACCCGCTCGGGTAGGTGGATCTTCCCTTCCAGTACGTGCTGGGTTATCATAGCGACACACAGCGAAAATTCACAGTCAAGGATAGCGCTTTTACGCGGAACGATGAGATGAACGCCGTCTACGACGACGATCACAACGTTGATCACAACCGACGCCATGTTCGCGGATAGAAGGAGCCGGCCCGCGATGGGCATGCAACGCGCGCGAACACTTCCAACGCAGCGGAGGGACGCACGCACGTGAACGACACGTGCGTGCGTCCCTGCGTCGCTAGGGCAACTGAAGCCTCTCTCTTCGCTTCTCCCGCTTCTTCGAGCACCCTCTTTGCCCCGCGAGTGCCGCTTGCGGCCAACTTGCGGCTCGCGCCGTCAGCGCCGTTATCTAGTGTCGCACAGGCAAGCGTGCTCGCTGCTCCGGTCGTCGGCGCGGTCGGCGGGCTGTGCCAGAAACCGCACTATAACCGGTATTTCCCTTCGCGCGCCTGCGTTTTAAGGGGTATGTAATTACATGGAGTTCTATGGGAGGCGAACCGGTGGTTTAAAAAAAACGCGTTATACCCGGTCCTGCACTATAAGCGGTTACGTTGTAAGTGGTCTATACTGTATTGCGGGTCTGGCCGTATACGTTATTCGCACCATTTTCGGGAGATTGACGTGATGTCATCTGATCATGTAATCACTCTAAGTTACATGATCATAGTTGCTATAGGCTACACGATCATATAACAAATAGTGGCAGATGATCACATAGCATTCACCATCAGTTACATTTGTCGTTCTCAAGCATGACGTGTCGGGGACCCTTGGGGACCCACTAGAGTGACGGGGGACCCTAGAGCCACTAAACGAGCTACGCTTAGAGTTTTGACACTTTGTTCTCCGATCGGCTAGTTGTTGCCGCCATCTTGGTGCTATGTGCAGAGCAGGCACAACTGTCGATTGTCCCAATTAAAAAATGTGACTTCCTCAGCTTTAGATGCGGTGTTAGGAAGCTCAGGGAAAATCGTTTTGCTACTGTTTTAACATTTCTAGAAGAGAGAAAAGCATTTCCTGCAATTTCAGATAAAGCTTCAGATCGTTGGCAACCAGGATTTTGTGCAGCAAGATAGCTGAAGTGTAGTAAAGCATGCCGTATTTATTCAAATATAAGGCGGTCACGATTATAAGGCGAGGGGGCAGTTGAAGGACCCAAGAAAAAGAAAAAAAATCGCCATATTGCTATACTGAGCTTCGAATATAAGGCGGGGTATGACTTTGAGACTACGGATTTTGGAAAAAAACCTCGCCTTATATTCGAATAAATACGGTAGTTTATTTAGTTGCTCCAGGGTACCCGATGTACCCGCGTATAAAATAAGACAATTAATTGCAGTGTGAAAAGGGCATCCTCTACTGTTACAGACTGGAAAGCCAGAAGCAGCATGTGAAAGGGTGAATGGATGGGTAGATGCTAGCGGCTGTAGCCTTTATAATGGGTGGTAGCTTGCTCCACCTAGCCAAGATCAACAAAAACCTTTTTTTTTTTTTCAAGAAAGGGGGTTTGAGACTTCATGGAGCCCAAATATCTCGGCAGACCCCCGGGGGTGCGTGAAAGCCCTTTTGAGAAGCACTGAGTTACATGATCACGTAATCACTATAGGCAATGTTATTACCTGCCGTGATATCCTGAGTACTCTCTGGGCAAAAAATCAATTTCCCAAGAAACAAAGTCATTGCCCACCCCTTCGAAAATAGCTCGTGACCCTCACTCTCACCCAGGGACTGTAAGATTCTGTGGCGATGACTTGGGGTATTACGATACCCCCCCAGAGATAACCCAGGTAAAATCTAGAGCAAATCAGGTGAAAATATGGCTAACTTTTGTTGTACAATGGAAAGAAGAAAAAAAACATCCAAAGGTTGGGAAGGTTTCTTTTTGTGGCTTTGTTGACTTCCTCAAAAGAAGAGTCACACTATCACTGGGGAAGAAAATGATCTGATCAGGCACATGGTGAGACATGGTCAGCAGGGAAGGGGCAACGGCCGATTGAACCTATTGGGGGCAGCAGATATCCGAGGGTGCTTGAACGATAGGGCTACAACTTCCTCCTCGTGCACAGAGACGTCTCGCTGCCTGGGTGGGCATTACTGCCCCAGCGCGGATGAAAATAGCCCATGTCTCACGGAGGCTGTCTTTAGATCCAGCTTGCATCCGCAGGAATGGGCGTACAGCACACACGCGCCATCCTTCGACGTGAAGGCCTTTTGGGTGGCATCAATCTCGTGGATCAGCACGAGCAGGCGTCCGTTTTCCATTGGTTCCTTGAAAACAACAGCCGCAAGTTGGTTAAAATATACAAAATCCATGTTTTGTTTTTTTTTAAACCTGCTCCCTCTTCTAGATAACCCCCCCGTGCACTTCCGGTTGTCTTCTACTTTTGTTTTGCGGTCTATTGTTATTACAATAATTAATTGTTCAGAGTCTGGCTGTCAGTGCTGCAAGCTGTGCCTCGTGGAAAAAAGAGAAAAATTTGGAAGCAAAAACAAGACCGACTACCAGAAGTAAACAAAACCAAAAAGGGCAAAAAAGTGATTGATTAACGCTTATCTCTTGCTGTAGCTAACTAATCCCGTTTTCGGCAGTGTCACAGATGGCCCCGGGCACTGCCCTTACTAAAAGTGGGCTGTCTTTTGGCATTCTTGAAACGATTCTTCAATTTTTAATAAGTGATAAAGGAGACTAAAGAAAGGTTTTTCAACGAAAGGGTAGCACATTTGGAATGGCACACCTTGAGGGGGGTCTGGCCGGTTGGTTCCTTCAGAATAATAAAAACTTGCGTAAAAAGGAATATGACAAGCACTCGAACAACTCGAACTCGTTGCGGCAAAAGGAGCCTTTTGTCTGCCTTCTTCCCGCACTTTTGGAGACCGCAGATGTGGGCGCTCCTAATTGTCTGTGCCGGACCGGCGTGCATGTGCTCGAATGTCCCAGGTGCCAGTTGCCCTCTCTCTCGCAGAAGTGGTGCCCGGGGCAAGAGCAGCTGCTGGAGCCCCTGGATGCGTTGCACTGGCAGCGGGTGAGCGACCTGGCCCTGGACTGGCTGTCGGGGGTGCTGTACGTGGCGGACGCGGGGGCCTCCCGGGTGGAGGCGCTGGCCGTGGAGGGCCGGGGCCGGCACCGCAGAGTGCTGCTGGCACACGACGCCTTGGCCGCCCCCCAGAGCCTGGCCGTGCACCCCACGGCGGGGTGAGTCTTGAGAGGCGGTCTTTATTAACTGTCATCTGCATCCTTGCCACACTTGTCGGGGAAATGCCCGGGCTGTTGTCGCAATTTTTCTCGGGTACGTCCGGGAACCAATCTGTCCGGCTCGTTTCACACCGAGTCTCTTGATTCGTAGCGCCCCGTCGACTGCCACTCGTTTGCAAAATGCCCAAACTTGCAAGTTCGTTACCACTCCTTGCTTGATAGTGCAAACGGTGGCCAATGTTATTAGATCCACTCGGTTGTGGAACTCCCGCGGAGGGGGCTTGCCCCCCCTCGAGCCCACCGCCCGTCATTTGAAATGCCATTTTTAGGCTGCTCTTGAAAACTGTAGGATTCTGGGAATATCCAAATTTTCGTATAGTAGTTTAGAATAATACTCTATTCAATTTTTGCTCGGAGGTGAACTGCAACATTCATGCTTTTCAAATTGTTGATCACTGCGGGTTAGCCCCATTGAGTGCGTTTCTTGCTGAGCACTGGCGCACGGCGGAGAAGCAACAGCCATGAAGCTTGCTTCCACGGATGTTGCTTTTCACCCACAGTGCACCGGTGCTTGCTAACAGTTCCACAACTGAGTTGAAAAGCACACTTTCAAAACTGGTTGGTGTACAGTAGAACCTCCTTGATACTTTCTTCAGTGGACCGCAGAAAAAAATATTTATCATCCGGGACAACATAACAACCGATAACGCCCTTAGGGGGGCTCTACATGAGATAGAAAGGAGCTCTTATATGATGGTTTACTTTATGTGTAATTACAGAACTTTTGAGGACTCGGACACTCCAACTTTGCGTGTTTTGCCCTCGGAGCCTGTTTAAAGCCTGGTTGATAAAAAGGAGCTTTCACCTCAATCTACTTTCGTTTAACGACGATGCTGGTCAAAGTTGAGTCCGAGGCCTCTTGCGATGTCAGATCTCTTCCGGCTGGGATTGCGATCCGCCGTCTGAAATATGTCAAACTTCTCTTTAAAAGAGAATGCCTTCCTTTTCTGCGATGCCATGACCCTCGTCACTGGGCAGAAAGCGCACATACTCTGAAACACCACGGTTCACACAATCGAGCAGAACAGAAACTAGAAGCGCAGCATGCATGCACATCGTTTCAGAGAAAGAGAAGAAGAGATGAAAGAGAGAGAATGAGCGTTTGCCGCCTCACCAGCCTCGCTCGCCGTCCGAGCAGCGCTCCAAGGTCACACCCGGGCAAGATGGAAAGCTGTGGCAGAGCTCAGTAAACCCCAGCGAGGAGAGATGGAAAAGAGGGGGAAAGGAGGGAAGGGAAAACGGGCGTCTGCATGCCCACGCTGCCGCACAACCCACATTGCATGGTTCAGCTTTGCTCCGCTAGCTTCAGTTTGAAGCCACCCTGGCGCCCGGCGCACCATGGTGCTGTGATGCCGACACTTGTGGGCGTAAAAACCGGGAAAGCAAACATAAGAGACAGGAAACTAATACATGCATCTCTATGAAAGTAAAATGGGACCGGCGTTTTTTAACATAACAGCCGGGAAAACGTATCAACCGAGAAGGTATCAACGAGGTTCTAGTGTATTTAAAAAAAAATGGAACTAACGTAATTATGAAAAAACCTGAGACTACCGTAATATCTTAGGAGATATCTCCGAAAGATAACCCGCCCCCTATTTTTGACCTGATTTGATACTTTTTTTTTTAAAAACACTGAAAGATAGCCTACACCTAGCACACAAACTCTTCTCTGCAACATCTCTTCTGCACATCTCCCAACTGATTTCCAAGCCTCGTACCGTCGCTTACCGCCGTCCACCGAACCTCCACACCTTCTTGTGAAAAGTAGCCTGAAGGCAAAAACCAACACAGACCCGGTTGGCATCATACCTGGCATCACGCCCTGGAATGCTCCCAAATGCCTGGCTTGCAAGCACCTTGGTTGCCCACAACAGCTTGAACTCAAATTTCCCGACAACCAGACCTGCAACTCGGCCAATGGCACGAGCTGCCCTGACATTTTGTTCATTGGAGAGACAGACCGACACGCTGCACAAACGAGCATGCTTGCACAGCCGTGTGGTCGGCACTTGCGTGTGCATGATTGCTCGGGGCTTTGACGGTGCAACCGCAGATGGTCGCCCCCCCCCCAGCAGGTTTGTCGCCTCTCCTATGACTTAGTCGATTTTGTGGAATACCTTTTCTGCCTTCGCCTTTCTGTTTTCTCTAGGAGCCTTATCGTTTTCTCTCGTGCTGTCTTTCCTCTCGACATTATAGTTTCTAATTACGTCAGTTCGCCATTTTGGTCATGGTAAAACAAGGGACTGGCGAGCAGCCGGAGCCGCTGACGATGCCTGCAAACTGTCCCCGTCCGTTCATCGAGTCCTAAAAAGCGGTACCTGGATTTGTGCCCGGCAAAGTCGTACGAGCGTTGCATCGTGGCCGTTGGAGACCCCGACAGTGTTGTGGTGGCGGCATGCGCCCGGTCTACTGCATGTCCCTCTCCAGCTTGACTGTCCACAGAAGCTTGGCAGTCGAGACGGCGACACTAGCATTCCCTCGCGTTTGTTTTCCACAACTCGTACGACCAATTGGCAGGATTTCCACGTCCATCGGTGCGACTGACCCTCGAACTTTCGTGAGGTAATTTGTTGCCATTCGGCACAGAGGTCGGAACAAGTGGAGGCGGTGTACCGGCTCGAACCTGCAAAACAAGAAAATCCCGAGAGAAGCCGGAAGTGCCGTGTATTTTTCGGAATATAAGTCGCACCCTTGTATGAGTCGCACCTCTTTGCACGGTTCACGCGACGAGTTTTTTCGTTTTACGCGCATCAGTATTGCAAAATCGGAGTGTCGCACAATTGGCTAGTTCACACGTGCCATTCGATGCCCGACAACTTTGGCGTTTCGACTCGCAACAAATGGCCGTAGCGTGGCGATGTCTGTCGGGAGCAATCGAATTTTTGCAGCATAAGCGCCTAAAATATGCAAAATGAGAAGGTAGTCGGCTTTATTCGAGCGTACAATCCTGAGCAAGCGAAAATTTAATGTGCTAGACACTCTTGAACCAATCTGTGGAGCCCTAGGCCTACCCTAGGCCAAGTCATGGAGACAACGCGAGCATCGACGCGCAAGCAGATAGATAATTCTTGACACTCTTATTCCGGTGCCGCTAAAAGGTCGGCTAGCCACAATCCTTCCTTTTACATGTAGCAACACGGCTGGAGCATGGCAGATAAAAATTGCTCATCAAATGAGAACTAAGAAACACGCAAGAATAGTTTCTGCAATACGTGTATCCCAGCCCACTTACCTTTCAGTGTTACTGGACTGAAGCAAAAAAGAACACGGAACCATGGCTGAATTAGGCAATGTTGATCGCACGCTGTAAAAGCTCTATTCTCACTGTCTCGCCCATCCACATTGAGCCCCTTTGGGGAAACCGTAAAATTTCTCGCATTTTGAGTCAGTTATGAAAACTGTGAAAAAGTGTGGCAACAGCAGCGCCTCGTGAAAGAGGCAACATTACCTATGGCTACATTGCTCTACCAAAGATGGCGCATGAAAAAAAATGGCGTTGCGCAGCGAATATAAACAAAACCCCACATCTCATCATTGTATAAAATGCACCAAGAAAAATGTAAAAAAAGAAAAAGACGCCGCATCTCCACGTGGTGAATGATGTTGATTGGGGCGAAGCTCTGGTGGTGCTGATGATACTGATTTTATTGTTCATAGATAGTGCGGATGGTGCTGATCTTTTTTATTGCTCATAAGTAGTGCTGAGTTCCGGGTTGCGTTTCGACTTCATTATTACTGCTTTATGGTCGATGAAATGCAGAGCCAGTGGTTCTTCTAGCGGAGCAGCTTGGATCTGCTAAAAGCCGTGGGAATGCGTCTCCACCGCTTAAGTCAACGGTCCATGTCACAAAGAGAATGTGTGGTATGGATTGTGGTTATATACGCAGTTGAGCATTTTGACCGCAGCGCCCTCTCGTCTATAAACGTCGAGCCAATGCGTGCAAAGTTTAACACGATTATATACGCAATTGACCGCAGTGGCCCTCTCCTGTATAGACGTTGAGCGGCAACATGCAACGTTGGAGTGTAGTGTAGTGGTTAGGACGTCTGCCTCGTAAGAAAGTGGTCCTGAGTAAATGGAACAGCGCGGAACATAGGACAGAAAGAACAGGACAACACGAGCGCTGACTTACAACTGACTGTTTAATGAGAAGCGAAGGAAAAAGAAGAAATAAGAAGCGAAGGAAGAAGAAGAAATAAACTGAAAATAGGGATTAAAACAAAATACTTGCAATGAAAATAACTAAAAGATGAAGGAAAAGCAAAACAAAAACAAAAGTGAAGAAAAGAAAATAACTTTTTAGAAAAAGCAAGGTTCATTAAGTGCTCTCGAGATATGCGATTTCCTTCCTCAACAGGGTCACGGAAGGCATGCTGACTGCGCTTGTGTCTTTCTTAATGATGGAGAACGCTTCGATGATCTCGCGCGTGCGACAGTCTCTATGGTGTTTGATAATCTCGCATCTGTCAAATGCTGGGACGCAGGCACACGCTGCACAATGCCTGGCGAGGTTGCTGCCAGTGGTCGTTCCCAATGAGGCGCGGTGTTCTCTCAGACGATCGTTGATGCACCGCCCGGTCTGGCCAACATACGACCGACCGCACGATAGCGGAACGTCGTACACGACGCCTTCGACACACTCGACGAAAGGATTTGCATGGCTCTTCTGGCATTGCCTGATGGAGGTGGCAGAGGGGTTGGTAGAGTTTACTTTTTTGCACAGACGACCCAGTTTGTTAGGTGCAGAGAAAAGTACCTGAACGCCTGCCTTGGCTCCTCAGATCTGCCGAATCTGAGGATTCGGCAGATCTGAGGATCTACCGAATCCTCAGATCAGAAGCTTGGCATCAGGTTCGCCTCTTTAAGGAGTGCATTCGATTCGCCTGTTTTCGAGACGGACCACCAGATCAAGCTTCCAGGCGCCTGCAGTTCGAACTCCGAACTGCCTCACAGGCAACCGACTTCCTCTGGTCCACTATCCTCGCCTCACTCCCCAAGAAGAGACCCCACTTTCCTCCAGCTCAAGATGTTCGTGTCCTTGGCAACACCCAGATTCCTGACAAGGCGCTCAGCGTACTGCAACTGGGTCCCAAGTATTGCAACCCTATCAAATTAGACAAGCCCGAACTATTGTCTTTGGTGAGAAGAACGGCCGCCAAAGCAGAAGGTGAGGAAGCGCACAGATGCATTCTCGAAGGCGTAGAGCACTTGCAAGTTTCCCCCAGGAGCCCTTGCCCGGCTCGCACAGGTGAAGTGGTTGCCCTGCTCCGCGAGGCAAATTTGAAACTACTCCTTTCCGACAAAGAAGGAGGCTTTGTCGTCATACCGGACAAGATCTACAGTCAGAAATCCCTAGAAGCAATCACTGGGAATTTTCGCCCACTGAAAGACCATTGCCCAAAAAAGGTGAAGGCAGAAGCGATCAGGAAGTGCCAGCAATTAGGCCTCACCACACTGGCGACGTCGGTACGGAACAGCCGAGGTCTTAGTCTGGAATGCTTTTTCACGTTTAAGACCCACAAGACCGAATGTCCCTTCAGAGTTATCGTTTCTGAACGAGGCAAGTGGCAGCACTCGGTAGGATCTTTCCTCCAAAAGTCGCTTTCTGTATTAGAATTAGATGATCCCTTCTTGGTCAGGAGGCCGTCTGCAGTTTCCGACTACCTTGAACAACTGCACGATGGGAACCTGCAGGGCTTTTCAGTTGACGTCAAAGACCTTTATTACTCTTTGCCCCACGACCTTCTCTGCGAGGTCGTGAGTGACTGCATCGACAGGTTTGGAACTATAAAGTTTCAGAACTCAGGCGGCGTCAGTGTCGCCGACTTTGTAGATCTCCTCCTTTTTTATCTGCGCTCTACATCAGTGGTGTACTGCGACCAGTTTTATATACAACGCAAGGGTGTGTGCATAGGATCGTGCCTTGCGCCAGTCCTCAGCGATCTGCTGTTGGCCTACTATGACAGACTGCTCGAAATATCTCTGCGGGACTTCAAGGTAGCTAGAGTGTTCCGGTATGTCGATGATTTCTTGGTGCTGTTCCAAACCTCTGGAGCTGACACCCACCGTCAAGTTGAAAACATCTTTGAAATTTTCAAGTCGAACCTCCGTGTTTTCACTCTCACCAAGGAACTGACCGAGGACAATCAGTTGCGGTTCCTAGACCTGATCCTGGTGTTTGGAGCGGAGCACGTCTGTTGGAGGTATTCCCCTCGTTCGCAAAAGGCGCTCTTGCCGTTCTCGTCCGCTCACTCCAAGCTTGTGAAGCGAGGAATAGCACTAGCGGCTATGAAAAATGCCACGCAAAGATCCTGCCATCACCAGGTTGAGAGAGGCTTCAACGCCCAAGTGGTCAGACTGCTATCCGCAGGCTTCCCGCAACCTCTGCTGAGTAGCCTGGCAGAAAAGCTCCTTCTTGAGTCGCGTTGCTCCACTAGCAAGCCTCAAGATACACGCAAGAGATCTATCTCCTTGGACAGTCATACCCTACATCCATGGCCTGTCCCACAACCTGAAAAAGGTTGGAGCCAAGGCAGGCGTTCAGGTACTTTTCTCTGCACCTAACAAACTGGGTCGTCTGTGCAAAAAAGTAAACTCTACCAACCCCTCTGCCACCTCCATCAGGCAATGCCAGAAGAGCCATGCAAATCCTTTCGTCGAGTGTGTCGAAGGCGTCGTGTACGACGTTCCGCTATCGTGCGGTCGGTCGTATGTTGGCCAGACCGGGCGGTGCATCAACGATCGTCTGAGAGAACACCGTGCCTCATTGGGAACGACCACTGGCAGCAACCTAGCCAGGCATTGTGCAGCGTGTGCCTGCGTCCCAGCATTTGACAGATGCGAGATTATCAAACACCATAGAGACTGTCGCACGCGCGAGATCATCGAAGCATTCTCCATCATTAAGAAAGACACAAGCGCAGTCAGCATGCCTTCCGTGACCCTGTTGAGGAAGGAAATCGCATATCTCGAGAGCACTTAATGAACCTTGCTTTTTCTAAAAAGTTATTTTCTTTTCTTCACTTTTGTTTTTGTTTTGCTTTTCCCTCATCTTTTAGTTATTTTCATTGCAAGTATTTTGTTTTAATCCTTATTTTCAGTTTATTCCTTCTTCCTTCGCTTCTTATTTCTTCTTCTTCCTTCGCTTCTCATTAAACAGTCAGTTGTAAGTCAGCGCTCGTGTTGTCCTGTTCTTTCTGTCCTATGTTCCGCGCTGTTCCATTTAGTCATGAACCAACTAGCCCATCAAAGCACACTGGTCCTGAGTTCGAACCCCCGTGCGGGCGTACGTTTTTTTTTAAAAAGTGGGCCGATCCCGGAGGCAGTGCAATCGATGTGAGCACAGATGCCGAACGGATGGACAAGGCGAAATCCTAACGAGCTTCGCCCCTAAAAACAAAAAACTGGTACACGGGAAAATATGGTAGAGGTTTCTGGGAATGCCTCCGTTTTGGATATGGTTGGGGCCCTCCAAGCCGGAGGTCTCCCTCAGCTCTGGTGGTGTCGCCTCCGGAAGCTTCCTACCCCTTCCTGGGGACCGCTTTCGACGCCAATGGGGTGTCATTTTCCGGAAGGTACCTGTTTGTGGCTGACTGGGGCGAGGCGCCGCGGGTGTTGCGCACCTTCCTGGACGGGAGCCACCCTCTGGTGCTGGCCTCGGGGCCGGACGTGGTGCGCCCCAGGGGCCTGTGCCTGGACGGGGGCCGCCTCTTCTGGGTGGACGGCGGGGCCCGCAGCGTGGTGTCGGCTGCCCTGGACGGGACGGACCGCCGCACCGTGCTGCGAGGGGAGGCCGTGCTGCCCAACCCGGTCCTGGTGGCCGTCTACAAGGTGCCTCCCTCAATGCCCTCTGCCAGTGTGGCACGCGAAACCCCCGATTTCGGTCATATTTCCTCCGTCGCCCCTGCGCCAGTGTCTCTGACGCACCTCCCCACGGCCGTGTTGGAGTTTGTACCATGTGAAATGTGGTAGAACGGTGACTACGCCTCTGCCTTTTTGCCGTCTGCCGACCAACACCGAAAGGTAACCCTCGAGCTGATTTCGCCTTAATTGGGGGAAAAGCCGAAAGAAATCCCAATTGGACCGGTTCTTATTAAGGGGGACACTACCTTGAATTGCACCTTTTTTTAAAAAAAATGCATATTCAGAACTGCAAAGTTTAGGCAGTTTTGGCATGTATGGATAACAAGGAACACCCTCACCAAGTCTTGTCAATGTGCACTGACAAACAATGTCAAAAATAATTATTCTTTATATGTTGGTGAGGAGTGCTGCACTGCGTAGCACTCGTCATCCAGAGTGAAAATAGCTGAAAGCAATGTTAGTATATGTGAAGAAGTTTGAGGAAGACATCACCTACACTGGTGGAAAGAATTTTTGACATTTAAGACACAAAAATAAATTTTTAAAACTTCATCATGAAACTTCAAGTGCATTTATCTCAGCTTCACTTTTTAGTGTCAAATATCAGTTCAGGGAAGCTATCATTTCATAATCAAATTATGCGTGCAGATGTATTTTGGTTTCTCTATATTGAAATTTTCTGGAGAACACGACTGTAAACTTACCGTACTTTCTTCATTTTTATGCTCTTTTGTTATGAAAAGTTTATATTTCTTTTAAATCAAATGTACACAAAAAAGAAACTTTTTTTGTGAATAAATTTCTATAATTTTTGAAATTTCTTTTCATAGTTGTTTGAAGCAAGTATTCTGGTGTATGTTCCAGCAAAAAAACTGGCCATTTTCATTACCCTTTCTAAACGATAGTTTTCCTCAGCAGATACACTTTTTTTATTATGAACTTTTATGTAACTCATCGTGGGATAAATTTATAGGGTTGAAAATTTCCACAGCATCCTTGTCCAGTGCTATGAGTACACCCTGAAAATTTCATGCAAATAAGGCAGACGGTTCAAAAGTTAGCCTTCAGGGCCTGTTTGTTCGAAGCGCTAACCGCGGCTAAAGTTAGCCGCAGTACCTAGGAGAGGGATTTTGAAATCACGTGACTGGCTCGGTAGGGATGCGGGGAAACATGGCGGTGCCCCAGTGAGTGAGCGCCGCTCGCTTTGCAAATAAGATGTCGTTGTAGCTGCAATATCGGGCGCGTTAGTCAGCAACGAATGGTGCAGGAGGCTTTCGCTTTGCTTTACCTCACTTAAACCGCAAAGCATGGGCAATGACATCGCCGCATTTTTTAGATAGTCTTTCGATTCTGGGCATTCCTAAGCCTAAATGAACGCGATAATTGTCGGCATGGCAACGTCTTTGGAAAGCGGATTGTTGATAGCACACAAAAGCAGACAGCGTCCCAACAGACCTTCTTTCTAAATTATCCAAGCACCGAGGTGCATGCTACGACTGTAGTTGCACGCGTCGCATGTGCTGGCGTCCGCAGTAGTAACCGTTCTAAAGCAAAAAGTATGAAACAAATTTTGCCTTGCACGCGCGTTCGTTAAAGCCTTATGATTTTTTACTTCGAATCTTTTATAAGATGAAGGCCAGCACGCGTGGACCGTAGAATTACACTTCCAGCGTTGTCCTCGCGATGCTTGGATAATTTAGGAGAAAGTCTGTTGGGACGCTGTCTGCTTTTGTGTGCTATCAATAACCCGGCCGATTGAGTCAAGGCAATCCGCTATCGCGTTCATTTAGGCTTAGGAATGCCCAGAATCGAAACACTATCTAAAAAATGCGCCGATGTCATTGCCCATGCTTTGCAGTTTAATTGAGGGAAGGCAAAGCGAAAGCCTCCTGCACCATTCGTTGCTGACTAACGCGCTCGATATTGCAGCTACAACGACATATTATTTCCAAAGCGAGCGGCGCTCACTCGCTGGGGCGCCGCCATGTTTCCCCGCATCCCTACCGAGCCAGTCACGTGATCTCAAAATCCCTCTCCTAGGTACTGCGGCTAACTTTAGCCGCGGTTAGTGCTTCGAGCAAACAGGCCCAGGAGTAGTGTTCCCCCTTAAGAAAGAACCCAGCCCTGTTGAAAATTCCCATTAGATTCCAATTGGAATTTCCAATTGGTACCAGCTAGGTATTGGGACAACCAATTGGTGACTGCAATAGGAACCAATTGGAACCCATTAAGATTCCAACTGGAAATTTTTTTCCAATTGGTGAGACCCATTGGCCAGTGTGCTTCCAATTGGAACCCACTAACACCAATTGGTTCCAATTAAAACCAGTTAGAATTCCAATTGAATCTAATGGGAATTTTCAGCTGGGAGGCTTTGCCGAAAGAAATGTTTACTTTCGCTTTGAGTTAATTAACTCTTTCCATACCAGATCCGTAGGCCGTTGATCACCCTTGATCCATGGTTTCTATGCGCCGCCAGTTGATTTTGGCACACAGAAACACGTTGCGCTTTTGCGTTTTGGCCCAAGCTGCCCAGCTATTGAAAATAAATCTCTTGGCTGCCGTGGACCTTTTCAAACGAGGCGTCCTCCGGGCATTGGGCACTGCTATAAGGATGGCGGCAGTTGCACAATTTAACTGCTTTTGCTGCTTGTTTTTCTTGGATGGCAGCAGCAGTCAGGACCGGGGACGATGCCGGATCGTTTGATATGAGCTCCTACAGAGTTGCGAGGTGCGTTCATATTAAAAATAGCGCAAAAAGACGGGACAAAAAGACGAAGAAGCAGACAGGACAAGCGCTTGTCCTGTGTGCTTCTTTTTTGTCCCGTCTCTTTTGCTCTATTTTTAATAGGAATGTCTATTACCAACTTGCCCAGCAGACCAAGCTCCAAGATGCGGAATATCGAACGGTTTAAAAGCTTTGTTTTAACTTTCTACGCTGTCCCGAGCCAGGCCACACATTTTATACTGTGTGCTGCGAGCCATAGAAAGAGCAACAGAGGAGGAGATAAAGGACCAGGCAGATTTTTTCGGTTGTGCTTTAGTCACCTAGCTGTGTTTGGAGATTTCTGTTTGCCCTTTGTGGCCCTTCTCCAGGGATTGTTTCAGTCATCCTTGTCCACTTGCACCTTTGCATTGAATTGCATTATAATCAAAGATAAATAGTTCTGGAGGACCTGCTTCTCTGAATCTCACGACGCTGGGCGAGTAGAGCGGGCAAGCAGAGCGGGGCCCTTGGGTGGGAGACGCGCATCTGGCTCCTCCTTTTGTCCGCCAGGACTGGATGTACGTGGCGGATGCTCACCGTAAGCAGCTGCTGATGGCGAGCAAGCAGGACGGCTCGGGCCTGGAGGTTCTGGGCAGGGACTTGGCGGACATCTCTGCGCTCAAGGTGTACGGCCCCTCCAGCCAGCAGGGTGAGGCTCCGGGCATTGCCTTCCTAGATCCAAAGTCTCGTGCAGTCGTATCCCACCAGAGCCACTTCGACCCCATTTCCCCAACGACCGAGGATTTCCGGTCCCCCGTCGGCGACTCGTAAAGAGGCTCCGAAATGCCGCTTCGGCCGGCTATTTAGGAAGGAAAAGAATGGCACCTTTGGTTAACTACTGGGGCAGAGGCAGCGGTAACGCGGGATGGCACCAAGCTAGATGCGGTCGCAGTACCGCTGTTTCTGGGGCAACTCCCACGCCCTAACTCCGGGAGCGAGACCCCGAAACAATGAAGGTGCCCTCTTCGTGAATGGCCCTATCCAGAAGGCGCACCAAAATGAAGAAAAAATAAATAAACGAAAAAAAGAATCGCTCACGCGGTGGGAACACTGAAATCCCAGAGCCGGCTCATTTAGTACGTGCTGGGAGCAGAGCGCGTCGCTGCCGTTTGTACAGTACAGTGCAGTAGAGCGTATCGTAAAAACCCGCATATAATACGAGGTTCTTTTCAAATTTTTCCATATAAAATTTGTGGCTCGGGTTATATGCGGGTCTGAACAATTTTCAGCTTCAATGAGGTGCAATCTAACACAGTTTGACATAGTTTCGGTTTCGAAGCAATATGGCGTTCCAAACAGCTATCATCACCATTAAAATCACAATGCTCGAGGCGCCACCATCCATCCACAGTCAGGCTAGGCAATGGCGTCGGCGCGAAAACAGAACTCGGACGCCTTCAGAAAAAGTCATTTTAGTTGCGAAAGACATTAGCAACGGTGCTGCCGGACCACTTTTTGCCTTAAATAAATTCAGCATCCATCGGTGGAGACGACAAAAGCAAGCTCTGTTTGCGTGCAACGGAACGAGGAGCTTTAGAGGCCCAAAGAATGGCGTGTTTGCCGACGTCGAGGGAAATCTCAGCGACTTGCCTCGGCGTCGGCACCTGGCCGTGAACATCCAGCTGCTGCAAGAGAAGGCGAGAGAACTTAGCCACCATTGGGTTGCTCGCTTCCTGTGCCGCGCCCGGTTTTCACTGCTTCGGCTCACGCTCGTCGCTCACTCTTTCAAGAAGTGCAGGATTTCAAATGTGCTCGACGTCACAGAAGACGACTGCCTTTGGAAGGAGGCGTCGGACAAGGAGTCTGATGGAAGTGATGACAGCGATTAAGGTTCAATTACGACGCAAATAAGCGTTCTTAAGACGTCCTCGGTCACATATGCGGCAAATTTTTGTGTTCCTTAAATTGTTTCGTATTATACGCGGATAAAACTTCTTTTCTTTTCTGCGGTCCTCAAATCATGCCTCGTGGTATATGCAGGTTCGTATTATATGCGGGTTTTTAAGTAGTTGCCGGAGGCTGCAAACACCTCCATACTTCCACGCGCGCCTGGCCGGGACCTCCACACAGTGTAAGTGACAAAACAGAAAAGTAGTAAAAAAAAATTACGGTGGCTTAGCTCGGATACGTGAGCTTATGCGCACAAAATGAGAGGCGCTATCGAGCGGCACCGGTGCAGCGTCAGACTTGGCTACTGCGCAACGGAGGCGCACGGCTGGGCACGCGGCGGCGCCAGTGCGTCTGCCGCGGCTATGACGTCACTCCTCTGGAATGCTCAGACCGGCGAGGTGCGCCGTGTGACGTCACTGCTCCTCGCGCATGCGCAGCACGGAGCACAACTCATTATGCAAGCCATGCGAAACTGCTCAACCTTGGCCAGTGTATACAAAATGAAAGAAAAATGGAAAAGAGAGTTGCGGAGAAAAAAGTAAAGCAAGAAACGAAAAAGAAAGCTCACTAAAATCTGGCAGCAAATAAAGAAAAGCAAAAAAAGAAAAGAAAAAAAGGGGCAAAGCAATAACAGCAGATGAAAAAGGTAAACAAAGATAAGGTGCTCAAAGTGTGATTGCACAACTGTCGTTGTCGACACACTGAACTTGCCTAAGACGTTTTTTTTTTGTTTTAATTTTATTTTGGGCTAGGGCAGGGGTGGCCAAGCTGCGGCTCTTGGTGTGTTAAAGTGCAGCTTGTGGTTCCTCCCCCCCACCCCAAACCTCCAAAGAGAAACGGAACGCGTTTTAAACAGGTTGCGGTTTGGTAGTCTCGTGCTACTGCTACCTTTTGTACAGTTCAATTGCTTTTGACTTGGATAGATTGAAAGTAGTTAGAGTTTTGTTAATTGCTCTAATTAAAAATTTGCCCCCCCCCCCCCCCCCCCCCCCCCCCGACCCCCTGCGGCTCTTGGAAATTTTGTGGTTTTGCCTGCGGCTTTTAGGCCAGGTCAGCCTGGCCACCCTTGGGATAGGGCAGGGGTTCTCAAACTGGGTTCCGGGGAACACGGGGGTTCCACGAGCCGGTCTCATGGGTTCCGCAAACACCCAAATTGCACCCCCCCCCCCCCCCCCATGCCGCAGACTGCGCGGCAGGACCATGTAGGTCGCCTTCATCTCACTTTGTACTGACATTGCGATGGATATGGTGGTTGCCTACAATTGCGCACCTATTGCCTCTCGGTTGGCAATAAAGGGGGGGGGGGGGGCTCCGCGGCAGTTTTTGAGGCTTCCTGGGGTTCCGTGAGGCCAAAACGTTTGAGAACCCGCATAGCATCCACATTGTTCGCTGAAAGGGCCTACCATGCAGACAGCGGGCACTCCCTGTTCTCCTACGTGCACGTGCGTGCCCTTCCCCTTGCTTTGCCATCCTCCACTCTTTCTTTTTTTTTTTGTGCTGTTTATTTTTTTTTAACTGTTCTTTCGCTGCGTATCTTACTGCATGTATGCTGGCTTGGCGGTTTGCCAGCCATGCAATGCAAGTGATGTGCTCGCCACCAGTGCAGTTGGATCGCGGGAAAAGCAACGGATCGCTGGGCTTGGTTCGCTATATTTAGTGTCTCCGCCATGAGAGTTGGATACAAAAAGACAACGCTCCTGTGCTATTACATGTGATTTTCAAGGCGATGTTTGGACTGTTCGACATAAACAATAATTCGAAATACCCGAGTGTGATATCGACTGTATGCAATTGTCTTTCCTCCTGATATTGCAGCTCGCTGTGGGGCCAAACGGCCAAAGAAGCCGTAGGTGCCACGCAAACTGCGGCCTTGAGGCTAGAAACATTGTTTGACGGTGAAGGTGGGGTAGCGGATTGTTCTGCGACGTTTCCAAAGTCTCCAAACTTCCCTCAAAGACGAGGAACGTAAGAAGCGAGTTTGGGCCCAAACCGAGCCAAGGCAAATCAAGATTGCGTGTTGGTGGCGCGTCATTGCCGGTCGATACTTTGCGGTCGGCTTATTATTTTGTACGACGATTTGGCGCCATTTGCGACAGAAATAGATGGTTTGCAATAGCGAACGCCACCAGAGGCAACAGCAATGGTGCCGTGGTGGCGGAAGAGAAATTTGTTTTCAAAGGAAAAAACGCAAACTTTGTAGCTGAGGCGTCGAGCGAAAAAAAGAAGGCGGACGTTGCGTACAATTTCGGCGCATCTTCGTCGACGTTGGCGCTGACACGGATGCAATGGTTTATGAACAGAATAGCGAAAAAGAAAAAGAAGCAAGCAGGCTGGCTGATTTCTGAAATCAAAGCTCGTTTGTGCGGCACCATTTCCGTTTGCCCATTTCGTGGCAAGCAAGTTTTTACAACAACAAACTTTTTTGCGTGTCCCATCAATTTCGTTGTAGTGGGATTCAACCATGCCTGAAACGACCCGTATCCATGTACACGTGAATACCCAAAGTAACCGGGATTTCAATTTCGTACACGAGTTGCGCGATTGGATCGGCACTTATCGAGTGCCACGAACGACCATCTATGGACGCTTAGAAATAAATGAGACGCGCACGGCGTTTCTGACGCGCTTGACGAGTCTCGTTGCACGCCGGTGCGCAATGCCAGTCCCGCCCACCGAGACCCCGCGTCGGTGCAGGCTCCAACGGGTGCAGTGGCGCCCCCAACTGCAGCCACTTCTGCTTTGCCGTGCCCGGGGGCGGCCACACCTGCCTCTGCCCGGCGGGCTTCCAGGTGCAGAAGGTGGGAGTGGGCGAGCGCTGCCTCTGCGACCGGGGAGAGATGCTCCTGGCGGACGGCACCTGCGGACCCGGTGAGTCTCCGCCTGTTGCAACGGAGTTTTCACATTCCTCCCTAGTTCTCTTTGAAATGGACCTAGTTTGCTCTCGGGTGTGTGGATGCCGGTTGCTCGAAGGCAATTGCTAGCGGCAAACCTTCAGGAGGGGCTTGAGAAAGTAAACGAGACGTGGGCTCCAAATTGCCGCTTCGTATTCCGAGTTTGGTTCGACATTCATTGAACATGGTTAAAAATCGCGCAGAAAGAGACAAGGACAAACGAGGATGGAACACAGAACACAGACATGCACGCACTCACAACTCTGGTATATCGAGTGAAGAAAAAAAAGATGAAGCACAATTTTTTTACAGGGGACAACGGTACGAGGGGGTAAACAGATCAGTCGCAGTCAAATGATGCAAGAAGGCAGCTTCTTTTTCACTCAAAGCTACCGACGGCTGACTAACACAGCAATCGGTCAGGCTCAAGATGGCGAACGCCTCGAGCATCTTGCGCGTTTGTTTTTCTTTAAAGCGGCCAGTGATCAATGTTTTTTCTGGAGATGGTGTGCACTTACAGGTCTTGCAGTGCACCGAATGGTGACCTCCTACAGTGGATGTTAAAGAAAGTTTGTGCCCTTGTAGCCGGTCATTCAGACACCGTCCGCCTGTCCGACATAGCATCTTCCACACGAAAGAGGAATGCTATATATAATGCGCGATGAACAGGGAACAAAAGGCCACACATGTTTTTTGTGGCACGTGTTTTTTGACAATTTTTCCGCCTTTTCACGAACCTTAGAACAAATTTGTCGCATTTGTTTAGGGGCTGATAGTACTACGGGCACAACATACCTACTGGCCACTTGTTTTAGATTATGTGATACGGTATTTTGTGTATGTATGGCATACTACCCCGGTTTTCGTCAATGGGGCGCCCAGGTTTTTCACCCCCTTTTACATTCTTTACCAGCGTTCTATCACTTCAATTAAGACCTGATTCGGGAAAGATTTCAGTCTATCGATTTGGCCCCAGAAACTCCGATGAATGGCATGGAAACATGACTTTTTTAGGGCTGAGGCGGGCAAGAGATAGCAATGTCTCTCTTCACTACCTTGGAGTGCGAGGATGTGTAGTGAAGAATACCTTTTTTGGAACGTGGTGAGAAGGACCAGCACAAGTGATCGGTGTGCAATGAGAGGAAGAGGTCTAAGAATTGCAACGGCCCCTTCCTTAGGCTTCTCAAAAAAAGAAGTGTGCTCAAAACTGCATGTATGAAAAATGTCCATAATCGTAGTAACTAAATCTTGATCTGCAGTTTTTTTGTACAGTAGAAGAAAATCATCTACATATCTGAACACGTTGGTAACAGGCGTGAACTTAATAGCTTAAGCAATAGCACGGTAGATTCTCGCAAGAAAAATATCACTTAAGATTGGCGAGGCACAAGAGCCAATAGACACCCCCGATTTTCGTCAAAAATACCCCGTTTTACCATCCGACGAGTGTGGAATTCAAATAAAATTGCAGTAGTTCAAGAAAACTGCCTGTAGTCACCCCACTTGTCACCCCACCTGTAGTCACCCACCAACGAGGAAGGAACACCACTGTGTTCCTTCCTCGTTTGTCCTCATCTCTTTGTGCGCGATTTTGAATCATGTTCAACGTTTACCAACTTGCCCAGCATACTACTCTTCTACATTCATTTTCTGTTTCTGTAGGTAGTTTAGTCGCGGTTCTTTCTGACCAAATCACTTCTCGTATTTACCGCTAGAAGTTTGAATCATATAGTTTAAAGCCAAGAGGGGGTGCATGTTTTCATCTTTTCTCATTCTATGCCTCAGGTTGCTTTTACCAAGGGGGGGTGTCCAGTTGCGCCATTTTAATAAATTCCCACTTGCGTGCACACGCCTGCACCTGAAGGAAAGTATTGCACCCAACTGTACCAAACCGTTTATTGGTGAACGTATTGGGAAGAGTTGTCATTTTCTTCCGGCAGCTATGGGAACCCAGTGGGGTTTAGCATCACAATCCCATTCGATCCAGGTTTCCGGCTCCACAGCATTTTTTTGCACGATTTTTACCCGTAGCCCTAACACGGTGCAGTTTAGTCAGTTTGTGGCTTTTCGTAACATTCTACTAAAGATGAACGGGCACATGTCAAGAAGCATAATTTTTTTTCCGATGAAAATGTGCTTGCGCACAGTTCCCAGTTTGCCAGCATGCACAGTCGAAAACGCTTTGTTACGAGTTGTCTTTTTTTTTTTCGTGTCCAATGATGCGAATCCTCAATCGTCCTTTTCGTTAAAACGTCGGTGCATTAGGGAACCCAGAATATTTTTATTCATTAGGCTTTTGTACCGATTGCTGAGTAGCAAATATTTTAGCAGCAGCTTCGGTGATGAGGCCACTTTTGTCGGTGGCTTCTTTCGGATATTTCCCTCCTCATTAAGGGACCTCACCCAGCGTAAAATGGCAAGAGAGATTGCTGCCCAAACTCCTGAAAAGCTCGGCACACCTCTTTTCTCCTCTCCCCAGACCAGAGAGCAAACTTGACTCTCTCGCTGGGACCTAAGTGCACCAGGATACAGCATAAACGAAAGTTTGCAGAGAAGAGACGCAGTAACAACCAGCAAGACTAGAACGCATCTTTTTGTTTTTCTCGTTTTATTGGTAGAATAAAATAATCATGCACCGACAATTCATTCATTCATTCATTTATTGACCCTTAAAGGCCCCATTGGGGCATTACATAAGGGGTGGGACAGTACCGGGAGGCACACATGTGGAACTTTTATACAATGTAAAAAACGAAAAGAGGAATACGATGTCTGGTTAGGCACTAACTATGGATGACACCACTTTTCTAAAAAGATGGGGGTCACTGATATACACAATATGATCCGGCAGATTATTCCACTCTATTCTAGCGAGGGGAAGAAATGAGTGGTTGACGCTGACAGTGGAACCAGGGATGCGACGTACACTAAGGAGGTTAAAGAGACAACGGGATGAGCGATGGGGATCTAATAGCAGTGGCTGTCCGAGTTATTTAGCTAACTGAGTCGGGCAGAAAAAGAGTGCTTCTAGCTTGGAAGTGTCTGCCATTGCCGAGGGAAGCACCTGTCGTGGCCACCTGCGCTCTTACGTGCCGCCATTTGTCGGCGGTTGCACCAAGCAGGCGCCTTTAATTAGCCGGCAGCCGCCGTAGGTAGAGGTTTAAAGTTTTTCATTTCTAATTTCTTGCTCCAGTAGGATTCTCGGTGAAACTTTTATACCCTTAATCACATTCTTTGGCCACCTCTGCGTAAAATCTTTGCTCGATACTTTCAGAAACAGATCATGCAGTCCCTTCAAACACCTATTGATTCCTTTGACTCATCCTGTAGTTTGTTTTCGGGCCATGAAATTGTGCAAGAAATTAGGCCTACGAACAGTCGCTTTCCGTGCTACATGCCACGCAGAAACTGCCGGAGTGTGATTTTGCGCTTTCTTTGGCAACTGCCGAAGGTGCCTTAAGAAAGGTTCGCTATTTGCAGAGCATACTCAATACTCGCGTCCTTGTTCTCGGAATGCCGCACCACTCCTTTAGCTAAATAATGCGCGACTGCGTTAGTAGAGGCGAGCAGAAATGAACTTCTCCCAGTAAGTACCGAAAAAAAAAGAAAACTGCGTTAATTCAAAGTATGCTTGCCCCTCTGAGTTGTGGAGGAAAGTAACCCGCTGACGCGCCCTGCTTGTGGTGCAGCTCGCTCGACCTGCTCGTCCCGCCAGTTCCAGTGCCTCAAGGGTCAGTGCATCCCGCTCACGTGGAAGTGTGATGGCGAAAAGGACTGCGTGGACGGCAGCGACGAGTCCCTGTGCGGTGCGTTGCTTTCTGTGGTGCTGCCTGCATGCTCTGTCTTCCCCCTTTGCCCACCTTTGACGGTGGCTGCATTTGTGTGTGGCTCCACCATTTAGGCTGGGGATGCTTGGAAAACCTTTTTCTTACCACTTAGCATATTTACATGAATGTAGGCCGACCCTTTTTTCAATTTTTGAAAATCTGAAGTGGGGGGGTTGATTTATAATTGAACCAAAGCATTCCACCGCCGGCAAAAACGAAACAATTCGATATCATGAAGACCTTGGCTTGTTACGAGTTTAGCCAGCTGTACCTCTAGCATAGCACTATTCTGTGCGCTCATTTTACAAATTAAATATTTTTTTTATTTGCGCGAACGAGTACTATTGATAGCGATTCGCAAATTAACCCGAATATACGGCGGTAAACAGGGCACGGCGCGCCCGATTCCTGGGGGGGTGGCGGCACTTCTTGTAAAAGCCACTCCGAAGGCCGCTGGAACAGCCTCACCACAGCCTCATGGCTCACTCACGCCACGGCTTCTCTTCGCATGTTATGATAAAAAATGTCCCTCTTTCCTTATTGTAAGATAGAAACCAACACGCTCAACCATCCACATTCGCTTCGCAGTTTTTGGCACGATTCACGGTCGCACATCGTTCGATCGAGTGACGAGATCATGCTAAAACGCTAACTATGTTTCTTTGTATTGACACGCATGATCCGGGCAGTTTAGGTTTTCGGTGCTCGTTTATGGCCATTCTTCACTCGGAAGCAAGCAGCAACTGCGCTATTGGATGCCAGTTTGACCTGTCAGAGCGGGTGATGCTGCAGTGGAGTCTGCAGTGGCGTGGGATCTTAAACTGTGATGGCAAACGAAGAGGCTTCCGTAGGCCAGTCTGGATAGGTGGGGGTGCCTTCCGGAGTTGCAACGTATGCCACAAAAGTGTGGAATCGGTCCCTACCCCGTGACGTTCATCGTCATCGCCGAGCAAGCACGTGTCATTTGCGAAGTGCGAGACTTCGTTGGACGACGCCGAGGACGTGCTTCGAGAACGTAGCAGTGATGAAGATGGGACGGACATCACCAGTGCAGACGAATTTTAGTCTAGTCCCGGACAGAGTGAGAGTGACAGGAAGCAGCTTCAGTTGTCCCGCCTCCAGCGTGAACTTCCTAGTTTCAATAATGCCTGGCCATCTCATGCACCTCGCACGTGCATGTGCAGCCCAAGCACGCCTGAAGGCATCAATCGCGTGTTGCTAGCTTGGCTTTCGAAACAGATACTTTGCCGTTCTCACGTGTTTGCAATTAAATGCGCATCTAAAGTTTTTTTTGTTTTTTTCTTTTGATGTGCAATATGGGGGGGTCGACTTACAATCGTGCAAATATGGTAGTATAAAAGATATAATAACAACACAAAGTTGCACGCAGTATGTATGCGGACGATTGTGTCATGTACGGAGAAGTAAAAAATGAGGACGATTGCTTCTTACTCGTATGAGACCTCAAAAAAGCAACAGTGGAGTGTGTTCGATGGAATATGGGTGTTACTTAATATTAGTAAATGCGATTACGTTAGATTTACTAAGAAACGTCGACGGTTCCTGTAGAACCGTGAGGTTAACGACAGTGTTGCCTCGAGGCGGGTGCCTGGTGTAAAATATCTGGGGGTTTATTTCAGTGGTGATCTTCCTGGACAAAGCACATGGACACACTAACAATGAAAGTAAACTGGGTTTTAAATCTTATTGAATATAATTCTAAGATGGCTCCTACAAATATTGAGGAACTGTCGTACATAACGAACGCTCGACCGATTTTAAAGTATGCATGTCCCATGCGGAACCCATATTTTGAAAGCTTGTCGGCAAAAGTAGAATGTGTTCGAGACAGAGCGGCTCGTTTTATTGTGAATACTTATACCCCTATCAGACTGCACCTGGAATGCCTTTTATGCCAAATGGTAGTCTTGTGCAAATAGTGGATTTTGAGTTTGAAGCGAATTCAAAGCGCATAGTGGTTTTGGCTGAATATTTTCGATTCGAATATCGAATAGTTTTTTCCCACCTTACACTACCATTGCATAATGCTTAGAGGAAAACCTAGCTAAACTTGTGGAGTTTGTTCCACTTGTTCATTTCAAAAAGCTGAGTTTAATCTATCTATATTTATGAACTGTGACCTCAGGAGGTCTAATCTTTTGGGATGGCAAGTAAACAACGGATTTGACATAAAATGAATCCGATAGAAATGGCCAACTACCGTAATATCCCGAGTCATCGCCCATCCCCGAGCCATCGCCCACCCCATTTTTTGGGCCAATATCGATTTCCGAAAAAACACCGAGTCATCGCCCACCCCCTCAAATACCCCAGCGCGGACTCTGCGATCCGCAAATACTCATCCTACCCGAATGACGCGGCCGCGGACCTTACAGTTGGAGGACGTCCGTGACAAAGTAAAACGAAGGAGGGAAAGACACTTCTTTTTGTTTACCTCCGTGAGCGACCCCAAAGTGGTCGTGTATCCGTGCGAAAAGAAAACGATGGAGATAACAAACTAAGAGTTTGTTAATGTAACCGCGGAGTGTTAGGTCAAAGTCTGTCTCCGCTGAAGTAAGGTCACCGTGAACCTGCTCCTCCTTCCTGCCCTTCGCGACCGCGGTTGAGCAATATTTTAGGCAGAGCCAACGCGTAAATAAAGCTTTGCTGGAACGCCCTACACAGACGTTTGCAGAGCGTCCGAACCGTGCATTGATAGCCCGCCGTGCACGGACACACGTATGTACGCACCAAACAAGAAAGTTGTGCAAGAGCTTGCAATTGACAAGGCGCCCGACTTGGCCTGACGCCAAAGTATTTGCCAACGCGACCGCCGGCTTTCCCGCTTTCCCAGCATTGCTCTTGGTCGCTTCTTTGGTCCGCTCGCTCGCTCGTTGCGCCTGGTCGGTTTTTCTATTTTCTTGTAGACTTTTATTTCTTTTTTTTTTTACTAACTAGGAAAACATAGTGGTGACATTCTTTCACGGAACAAACGTTTGCGCTATATGCAGATCGGCGGTGTTTCTAGCGCGTATGCAAGCAACGGACTTCGCTATAGTAAAATATTCTTTCGTGAGCATTTTTTTCTATAAAACAACGAAACTAAATCGAGTTTTGAGTTTGATGTATCTCTTGTGCATCAGCGTTAGATACGCAGAGAAAAATAGGTGGTTTTTTCCGTTTTTTTTCAAGTGTTTGTGCTCACCCACCGAGACATGGCCCACCCCACTTTTTTAATGAATTTCAGGTGGTAGGGGGGTGGGCGATGACTCGGGATATTACGTATACCCAATTGACTGAATTTATGAATCTTACTACAGTATAGACCACTTACAACGTAACCGGTTATAGTGCAGGACCGGGTATAACGCGGTTTTTTTAAACCACCGGTTCACCTCCCATAGAACTCCATGTAATTACATACCGCTTAAAATGCAGGCGCGCGAAGGGAAATACCGGTTATAGTGCGGTTTTTGGCAGAGCCCGCCGACCGCGCCGACGACCGGAGCAGCGAGCTTGCTTCCCTGTGCGACACTAGATAACGGCGCTGACGGCGCGAGCCGCACGCTGCACTAGCGGGGCAAGGATGTTGCTCGAAAAAGCGGGCAGAAGTGAAGAGAGAGGCTTCAGTTGCCTTAGCGACGGAGGGACGCACGCACGTGTCGTTCACGTGCGTGCGTCCCTCCGCTGCGTTGGAAACAAAGAAACAAACAACCGCAACGACAGACCAATCGCAGGTCGAGGAGAAGTGTTCACGCGCGTTGCATGCTCTCTCCTTTCCCCCCCAACCTCTCTTGCAACGCTTCTCCTCTTCCTCCTCCTCTCCGGTCGCGGGCCGGCCAGGCCGGCTGCTTCTATCCGTAAACATGGCGTCGGTTGTGATCGTCGTCGTAGACGGCGTTCATCTCATCGTTCTGCGTAAAAGCGCTATCCTTGACTGTGAATTTTCGTTGTGTGTCGCTGTGATAACCCAGCACGTAGTACTAGAAGGGAAGATCCACCTACTCGTGCGGCGATGTCGTGGCGGCGCTCTCAAGACGGCAAAAACGCCCGTGTCGTCGTGTTTGTTTACTTCGACTACAGTGGTGATTTCTAAGCATTTGTGTCCTCGAACATCGCCCGGATTTCTTATTTGGCGCATTTCATGCGTGTGCTCAAGTTCAAGGTATTACTGGCGCGTACGTATGAAGGATGCGAATTTTCACGCGTTTTCATCTCCGGAGAAAAGTGGTTAGGGTTAGCAATCCTGAATGCTCGCAATGTCCGTCCGCAACTCGCGACGCCGTTAAAAGGCTGCGCCAGGCAAAAGCCGCTCTCTTTCAAAATGTGTGACACACTTGAGACAGAACTGTACTAGTCTGGTGAAATAAAGACTTTCCTCAAACTAAGCTTTATTTTTCATCTAACATAAAAATAAATTCTTTTACAAAGGTAAGTTGTTTCATGGCATGTATTTTGGCCTGAAAAATTGATGTTTTGGTTATAGCGCGGTACCGCTTATAGTGCGGATTTTCGCGACTCCCGAGACATACGTTATATGCGGTCTACACTGTATATCAAATATTCTCCTTAATCACGAGTCAAAAAAACCAAACAGTGGCTTAGCTCGGCTATGCCAGGATATACGTAGTGTAAGCTTAGGTCCAGCTGGTTGTTCTTAGCTTCCCTGGTTGTCTAGGATTAGCTTGATTATCATGCTTACTGCTGCCTTAATGACACACACACGATATACGCATTATGTGACTACTTCGGGATCCGATGAGTTAAGCTTCTCCGCTCTTCTTATAGTGGAGGAGGCGCCGTGTAACCGAGCTTTCGGTCGCACGTCAAAGGATCCCCAGGTGGTCCAAATTAATCCTCCGCTGGGGCGTGCCAGATGCCCGTCGGTTTGGCCAGCTTTGCGCCATGTTTTTATGTATCAAGCAACCAAGCTGCCACCCAGAACAACCGGACAGTGCCAACGTTGACGAGAAAGGACACGGTTCGAGTGGTCCAGGCGTTCGGACACTTAAGTCCCGTTGCTGGGTCGTCGAGACAGAGCGAGGCACAACGACACAAAGACAACATAAGGAACTTCGTGGTGGGACCTTGGAGAGTCGGAGCAACGGAACCGTCCGCAGCAACAGCCACAGTGGGCCATTCCGACGGCCGTGGGATGCACATGGTTATATTCATCCGAGCCACGGTTCTATCGTCTGCTTCCACTAGACATCAGCGTCATTTAACCATTTGTTCACCGAACTTGGCTCAAAATGTTTGAAAAAGTTTAACCTCGTTGGATTTGAAACCTGGCAGGTTTACGACACCCCTAATTTTAAGAACCTCTTTCTCGCAGTCTCGTCGATCGAGAGTCTGGCGTGATAAAAGTTTGTTTCCATATTTGCACTTGTGTACCCTATGACTGGCTCTTCTAGTTTACCAATACTTGGGACAGAATTGGTCCCTGGGAGGGGAAGCAGACAAGAGCCCAGTTACGAGCGCTTCCTTTTCTAATGGGCACCCCCTGTTGCAGGCCAGTCGAAGTGCCCTGCGAGCCAGTTTGCCTGCGCCAACGGCCAATGCATCCCATCCCCCTGGAAGTGCGACACGGAGGACGACTGCGGCGACAACTCGGACGAGTCCAACTGCAGTGAGGAAGCTCCTCCCCTTTTCGGCTTCACTGCTTTCCTCACTGCCCGTTGGGCCACAAATTCACTGGAGGGTTCTTTGCAGTGTGCACCTTGTCATTGGAGTATCAACTTTGCCAGAAAATCTCTGGGAGGGCATACGTAAATTGCCGCGTCAGAATAATAATGCAATAGTGTTAAGGAGCTCGTGTCGCAGAAAAGGCGGCATCGGTGGCATCGTGACGGGAAAATCCTGATTGGTTGACAGGGTCACGACGTCGCAGCCACGTGACCTCGCGCAGGACTTTCGAACAATGCACGCATGAAACGCGACGTCACGTGGGGAATGCAAGCGACCAAAACATGATGTGTAATGTGAATTAAAGGTCGCCGAATGTCTCGAATGATTTCACTGTATAAAGTAATTCATTTGCCTTAAAGCAAAAATTTAAAGAACTTTAGGCGGGATTCGAACCCACGACCCTTCGGTTGCGAGCCGGACACTCTACTGACGCAGAGACGGTTGCACGGCTTGGGGATGAGTGGGAGTTTATATGTTTAGCTGTCGTGTTCCACTCTTAAAGGCGAAGTTTAAGTGTCCTCCAAGTTTTTTGTGTGAAGGCAAAATCTTGCGTTTAAAAAACTTTCTTCCAGTTTAATTTAGAAATATCGGAGTAATTCAGTGATAGGTAATGGAAATGCTGCACTATGATATCACTAATTGACATCACGTGACCTCTACACCAATTCAATTCCCCGCTAAATTTGGAGGGGAACTGAATTGGTGCTGAGGTCACGTGACGTCAATTTTCCCACCAAATCTAGCAGAGAAACCGAAATTGTCCGCTAAATGTAGCGCAGAAACTGAATTTTCCCGCTAAATTTAGCGGGGAATTGAATTAGTGGGCCGGCGTAATCGGCCCGCTAAATTTAGCGGGCCGGTTACGTCGACGGCGATGCCGCAAAACCTGGAAACGGGTGCCTAAGGGCTGCGCTGTAAGAGGGAAGGTTCTTATGGAGGCAATTGCACAATACTGTGCATAGCCTAAAATTTAAATGTTTCCCTTCAGTCTGAAAGTAAGCAGACTGATCAAATCAATTGGTACGCGCGGGTGCTTGAGACGTTTCAGAGAGACTCGTGCCACTTGCTCTAATCTTCACCATTTCGAAGTGGCGTACGTGCTCCAAGCTTCACCGTTTTGCACCGGAGCATTTGCTTTGGGCTTCACTGCTTCGCACTGGCATGCTAGCACCAACGGCTGATGTGGAGTGCATATGCTTTACCTGGATGGGCCGAAATTATGCATATTATAGTCGATGACAGACTAAGAATTCGATAGAAGCCCCATTTCCGAGCCGCCTTCCGTTGGGCCTTGACTGCACGCGACCAAGTGTTATCGAAGACAAAAAGCTTGTGGCGGACCTCCGCTGGACTCTTAGCCTGTAACCGACTCTAGTAATATCGGTCGAGCAATAGATGAAACGAAATCCAACAAAAACATTCGGAGCTGTATCGTAATAAATACAATAGCTTAGTTTGCACGCATCAGTCATCTGACAGGTCGCCAAACTCTGACTTAACTTGGCTCCAAGGCTGCTAATGGTGCAGAGTAATGTGCAGTGTTAGTTTCAAAGCACATATCTATGCTTTCCCACTTTTTGTGGCTGGTTGTTCCCGCAGTATAGCTACATACACTAGGTGAATGTATTTTCATCCGTCATGATGCCCAATGACAATGTGGCGTCACCGAGGACCCAAAGATGGATCCTCTATGACGAGTAACGCGCTAGCATACAGGCTGTTTCCTGAAACGCGGCAAAATTACTCCTGCAAAAACTATGCATCGCGCAGAAATTACAGTTGACGCCGTGCTGGTCTGTGTCAAAGGGCCCGTTAAAGAACGATTAGCGTTCAATATACAGTCGCCGACCGATTTTTCGGATGCCGATAATTCGGACTTGTTCGATATTTCCTACCTAAAGGAGGAACCGTGACCGACCCGATAGAAATAGTGCATATTCACGACCAATATTTCGAACAGCTTCAAGTCCGAAAGTTAAATTTTTCGGTCAAAGTCGTCGCGAGCGATCAGCGGGAAACACCGCCAAGAAGCGGCCATTTTGGATTCTATGTTGGCTGCACATGGATTGGCTTGGTTTGGACGACGGCTGCGCTGCTTAAATACTGCTAAGTCCTACTGCTAGGTAATGCTGTACGGCTTTTTTTTCTTCTCTAGCTGCGCATCATTATCATCATCATTGTTGTTTCCATTTCGCTTTATTGATTCGCCATTGCAGTCATAGACTTGCGCCCAAGGAGGATAGAAGCGTAGGAGAGGGCATGACGGCAGCCAGGTAGCCTCCACGAGCCATGCTCCCTTGACGCCTCGCCTCTTTCTCATTTTCCTCCTTACTCTCCTCACTTACCACGCCAACGTGACCACATCACGTGACCGTAGCTAGCCTTCGTCTAGCTATGGGGTACTAGAATGCACCACAGGCTAGCCTTCGATCTGATAAAACCTACCGGACGGAGCGCGCGCAAGCCTGCGAGGAGTCCTTCTACAATCAACCATCCATCTCACACGTGACATGTCACGCACACCAATAGCCAGAGAGATCTACGGTCACGTTGGCCACGACATCGTTTAAACTTTTTATGACTAGGCTTCACCGATATTGCAACGTGCCCTCTCCTAGTACTTTTAACCTCCTTGCTTGCGCCTCTCGTCTGGATGTCATATCAGTGAATCGTGTTTTCGGACTAAGCTGGCCTGGTCATTGCCCCACCTGTTCCTTCGCCGCCGCGATGTGTCGCTAAGAAGCGCAGAAAATACTCGATTATAACGCTAGAAAAGAAGGCAGCAATTCTCAAGCGGACAGAAAGTGGCCAAACGCAAACGGAGGCATAACCTGAAACAAGGCATGCAGGCGTAACCTGAAGCAGGGCACTCTTTACGGCTTTTTTAAGCCCACTTAGGTGTGATAAAGACAAGTTTTTTAATCTGCTGATTTTTCGGACTCCTTTATTACTCGGACATTTCTTCAGTTCCTGCAAAGTTCGAAAAATCGTTTGGCGACTGTAATTGGGTAAATAATGACTTTTGGGGGGTTCCATCGTTAATTATTGATTTATTGATTATTGATGATTGTTTGATTCGATTCGCGAATCGCATTATTTGGGAACTTCCTATTCGATTCGAATATCTATATTCGAGTATTTGCATAGCTTTTTTGCCCATGTTTTCGGAAAGACCCTGTATATGTATTGGCACCTGCTCAAACTGCACCAGTGGCTGCTCCGAAGCAACGTTTTGCCTGCTGCAAGACCCGCTGGAGCAGGGGTTCTCAAACTTTTTGATCTCGCGGAACCCCAGGGAACCCTCCCCCCCCCCCTCCATATTTGCTGACTGAGATGCAACAGATGCTCAATTGTAGGCAATTTTGCTTGGGTTGCTTCCCATATATCCCCACCATATCAATCGCGATCTCAGTACAAAGTGAGATGAAGGTGCTTTGCATGGTCCTTCCGCGCAGCCTGCGGCGTGGGGGGGAGAGGGAGAGGAGAGGGGAGGGGAGGGGGGAGGGGTGGAGGGGGGGGTTGCAATTTGGTTGTTCGTGGAACCCATGAGACCAGCTCGTGGAACCCCTGTGTTCCCTGGAACCCAGTTTGAGAACCCCTGCGCTAGAGAAGCTCCGTTACCGATAAAAAAAGTGCCGGACTCTCCCCAATTGGCGTGTTATTGCATACGAGGTCCTTCCATTGGGAAGTCGCCACCGGGGATTTGCGGAGTAGGAAATGCATCTGTGCACAGCCTGGGCGTAAAACGGCGGTGGTGAGAGTGCGTCCTTGTCTGTGCCAGCCTTTGCCACCTGCGCACCCGAGGAGTTTGGCTGCCGCAACGGCCGCTGCATACGGCGCTCTCTGGCATGCGACATGGAGGACGACTGCGGTGACGCTTCGGACGAGGTCAACTGCACCAGTGAGTCCTCCTCTTTGGGCAGCATGCCTCGGCTCTTTTGTGTCTGTGCGTGGGACGTAACCCCAACATCGCCTGTTCGCGTGACGTTGCGGATGACCGATAACTGCTAGGCATTCCAAGTGACTGTTAGTGCTGCTCTTGTTTTTGTGCCGCTTGCCCCGCACTAGGCGTGTTCCTATCATCTATCCAGTTTCGGCGCCGACTCAATTTTGATACGTCTCGACGCAGTTTTGGGACAAAAAGTTACTTCCTACACTGTGCGCATCACATTGGCCTTGTTCTAAGTTGTCTGTAAGAGGCCACTTGCGCGCGAAATGCCGCGGATAAAATGTTAGTAACTCGAAGCGAAAAAAACTACTTGCAGGCTGAGAATGAGACGTGCGGGACGAGGACGACACATTTTTTAAATTTTGACTAGAGGAGATACTGTGTAAACTTGAATATAGGTTGAACCGGAAGAAGGTCTACTCCCTAATTTACAAGTTACAAAAAGCAAAAAAAAGCTTTTATGGCAAGAAAATACAACCTTACCTCGGTAACAAATTTGGCCAAGCATACGGAAGGACGAGAAAACACGGCACATTTATTTAATCGCTTCCCACGTAATAAAACGGGACGTGCGCCAGCGTTACTACTCAGATTCTCCAGAACCTTCGCCCGACAACGAGTTCACTTACGCAATTCAAAGGGACGCTGACATCCTTTTGAATTGCACCTTCGGAGTCCCGAGGCACGAGCAACCTCGACGGCTTTCGTACGGATGCATTCCAACGTCACAGGTAGCGATCTGGTGCGCAGATTCCAAATGAAATCTGCCACCTTTGTTTGCAATTCGGGGTACAGTCAAACCCGTTTATAAGGAACAGCAGGAAACGCTACGATTAGTTCGTGATAGCAAGTAGTTTGATATAGCAAAAAACATTTACAACGAACTTCCACAGTGAGTTCGTTGTAAGGCAAGAGACTCTCTTTCTCATCCCTTCCCTTTTGCCTCGGAACAACTCGCTAAAAAGGGTTTTTTTTTTTTTTTGTGCAGAGTTTTTTCTTTTTAGCTTTCTGCATCGCTTCTCCTCGTGGGCAAACACTTTGAAGTGAATATATTTTTTTTTTGCGTGTGTGCAGAGTGTGTTTTTTTTACCTTTCTCTCCCCCCCCCTTTTTTTTTCTGAACCGCTTCTTTTCGCTCAACTTTGTTCGCAACTTGAGCTTTTTGAATTTTCTTTCTTTCCTACTTCTTTTTTTGGGGAAGGGACAGGCTAGAAGACGATTGTTTGCGCGTTTTTGGAAGCCTTCCCGGGGGGAAAAAAGTTTGATATAGCCAATGTGTTGTTCGTTATAAAAAGAACCTTTTATGCACATTTTTATTTAAATTTTCCGCGAGTTTTATATCGACAATAATTCGCTGTGTGCGGGTTCGTTCTAAACAGGTTTCACTGTACACTGCTGTCCTTCCACGAAATGAAGTTTTCTTCGCTTTGCTGCACGCCACCAGTTTTTGTCTCTGGCCTCGTCAGGAGCGTATGCTTTTGTCCGATACACCGAACCTCGCTGCGCTGCAAGGTTCCCGTAGATCTCTGCATAGGCGATTGCCTTCTTCTGGAAGGCTACCAGGAACTGTCTTCTACTTCCGCTCATTATCACTCCGGGAGCGGCAACGGTAGATGTGGATTGTGACCGTCGTGGCAAGTGGACGAATGCTAGGCGATTGCAAAGAAAAACAAGATGGCGGCTTTAGCCACCCAGTGTTGCGAGATTATTTTTGTTTTTCCACTAATGACCATTATATAAGATGAGGGTCAACTTTTTCAGGTCCATTTTCAAAAATTAATTTAATTCTGGTTTATACGGTAAGTGTTAAAACGCTGCATCTCGTAGAAGTCGCCGTACTAGCGTGGCAGAGGCAGTGGAGACTGGATGGCACTCCGTGGATGTCTTACTTGTGGGTGCCACCTTCTGCCGTTGAATGTAAGTACAGACTTTCAGGTCGCACAGGTAGTCTTAAACAGAATACAGTAATCCCTCGTTATAACGAAGTCAACGGGACGGCAAAAATATTTGATAAAAGCAGTAATTCGATAAAAACGTGAGAGCCACAAAAAGAGTAAGAGTAACCTTGAAAGTGCACAGGAACAGTGCGTTTCATATTCAATGAAACAAACTTTGCTGATGAGCCAGGCTTAACGGCGATCAGTTTGCCGGGTGTTTTTGCCAGGCATTAAAAAAGCCTCCTCCAACTGCCTCAAGCCCCGCATGAGGCTGTCATCACCGCCGCCACACTCCACCTTGTTGCGAAGGCGAAGTATGTTTTGCGTTTCTCCAGTCTGTGGCGCCCCATGCATTCACGAGGGTGCCCATCAAACTACTCTGGCATCTTGGCCGTGAGGCGGCTATGCAGTTGCTTTGCCTCAGACAGGATCACATTGTCGTGTCGCGGCGGGGTCGATTGGGATCTCGAATTCGGCTCCCGACGTGCCGCTTTCTCTCCTAGCCACTGGATGGCGCTGCAGGCGCCCCAGTCCCAGAGCCGTGTATGGGGAGAGTTTGGCCAACAGGCGGAGCAAAGGCCGCCGCCAGCGCCGAATATTCCCCCCGCGCTTAGAGCGTAAACAAAATTTGTGACACAGCGTCGACCAATCAGGAGACCGCGACGTCAGAATATTGCAAACGACATTCAAAGTGTGAAATGGAGGCGTTCAATCTCGGCCTCTCTGCTCCATCTCACAAATGTCGGCAGTGAAGACAAAGGTACAGGCGCGTGAACCTAGCTCAGCAAAACGCTTTTGTTTGTACGTGAACTCGTGCATAGGAGCCACTTTCCAAAGCCACGCGCTCGTGCCCACGCCTTTCTCTGCACTGCTGATGTTGGCTTGTTAGAACAGCGTCCTGTGACTGGCAGAAAGAAAACAGCGCAAAAGGTGGGGCGCGTGAGCGTCTGGAGACGCGGTGTCCCGCTCGGCTCGTGCGCTGGCTTTGGCAGTGCTTTCTTTCACCGTCTCATCTGAGACGCTGTTTCTAGCAAGCTGGCCCTGGTTTGGAGCGCACGTTCGTTTATTCTACACTTGAATATTGGCGTGACGAAAACTCGCACGCACAAAGTTTTCAGTCACTGAGAGTTACACCTTTTAACTCTAGCGACGCTAAAACGGCTTGAATTACTCGTGTCACAAATTTAGAGCTCACGACCACCGCTAGGGGCTATTTCGCGGCCTGTGGTTGGCCCCGAGATGCTCGCCTATTCAAACCAATGTATGGCCAAACTCTCTCGATAAACGGCTCTGCCCAGTTCGGGCGAGTAAAAGGCTCCTCGCCCATCGATCGATATAGTCGGGGGACCGGGAGACAAAAGCCTCTTAGTTCCCCGAACGGAACCAAAAACAGGCAAGTGTGTGCGACCGGATCTAGGGTATTATTTTATTTATTTATTTATTGATTTCAAATACTGCCAACCCTTGCGGTTTATAGCAGGAGTGGATACAGTAATACATCAAACAAAATACAGGTGACACAAGAAATTATACATAGAACAGTCATTCTCACGGTGCAACTGCTCGTCAGCAAACCAGTTGATCAACTTTTCTTCAAATTCTTCAAACAGACGTGACGTCCGAAAAAACACTCGGGGGTAATCTGTTCCATTGTTCTATTGTTTTGACAAGAAATGAATATTTAAAAATGTCAATATTGGGCATAAATGGGTCAACTGACAATTGATTGTTTAGTCGTCGAGACCGTCTTCTAGGAGATCTGATATAAGTTTGCGTGTCAATATGAAGATATTTAAAATGCAACAAATAAAAAAACTTCAGCCGGGCAATTCTTCATCTTGACGCCAAGGAGGATAATTGGGCTTCCCTCAACAATGCCGAAACAGACTCGTGTCTATCGTATTTAGAAAAGATAAACCTTGCTGCTAGCCTTTGAGTGCGCTCCACTTTATCTCTTTGAGTTTGTGCGTAGGGGTCCCATATTACCGATGCATATTCCAATGTCAAGCGCACAAGAGTTTTCTAAACGTTGGTCCGGATATCGGAGTTTGTCCGTCTTAGAGATCGCCTCATAGAACAAAGTTTCCCATATGCTGAATTACATACGTTTGTAATGTGCGTATTCCAGCTGAGATCCCCCGAGATAGTAATACCAAGATACTTAATAGTGTTAGAACGTTGCAAAACTACACCATCTATTTCATACGAGAGCGTCAACGGAGACTTCTTTTTGGTTATGCTTAAGACACTAGTTTTATCAAAATTGATTCGCATATCCCATTTTTCGCACCAGTGAAATATAGTCGTCGAGGAGTCATTCAATAATTCTCGATCATGTACAGTTACTACGGGGATGTAAACCAAACAATCATCAGCAAACAAACGCACTTCTGCAGCTGGGTCGATATCTCGAGCGATATCGTTAACATAAACTAAAAACAAAACTGGCCCCAAAACAGATCCTCGGGGTACGCCAGACATGACCGGTAAAGCAGATGACGCATGACCGTCAATTTCAACGTACTATGTCCTATCGGATAAGTATGATTTAATCCAGAGAACCAAGTTCTTATCAACACCGAGAAGCAATAACTTTTCAGGTAACTTTGTACGCGTGACTCAGTCAAATGCTTTAGATAAGTCGATAGATACAACATCTACTTGGCCACAAACATTTAGCACTTTTCCAAACTGATGAGTTGATTCAAACAACTGGGTGATAGTCGATAGCTTCCTGCGAAAACCGTGTTGTTTATCATAAAAAAGGTTTCTGTCTTCTAGAAAATCAACGAGATGTTTATAAATGATGTGTTCGAGCATTTTGCAGGTTGTTGATGTCAACGATATTGGCCGGTAGTTTTGAACTTCAAGGTGGTTGCCCGATTTGTGAATGAGTACAACTTTGGAAATTAACCAATCCTTTGGTAAGCAACATGTATTTAGCGACTGTTGAAAGATAATGGTCAAAAAACGTGAAACCGGTTTGCAGTAACGCCTCAGGAATTCATTTGGGATT